AGTAGGCCAGCTGCTAAATGGAATAAAAGGAGTGGTGCCCTTAGGACAAGATCCTACCCAGCAAAATTTCCAACTTATAAAAAGGAAATCCCTAAGAAATCGGCTTTTAAAGCTAAGGAAGATTTGTTCAACTAAGGAAAGCATCAAAAAAATCAAAGCTAATGCAAATGTCATTCAAGAAGAGGGGCAGGTTCTATCCCAAGTAGGCAGCATAGGCCACAGAGTTCTGGCTTAGGAGTATTGAAGGATAAGTTGCCTTGGTCATGATGTCTCCTCACAGCAATAGAAAGGTAACTAAGACAGCCACTTCTTCAGGCTCCTGAGCAGTGCTTTGGCAGAAAACAGCTATGATTGTTGTGTAGTTTCCACAAGGCATCCATGAATCTTACTATGGTCAGTGCTGGTAGTATATGGTAATTAGCTGGCTGCTTGACCTACAGTCCTTTGCTTTTATCAAGTATGGCCCAGGGAAGAATTTAGTATCTGTTAATTAGAGAATCAAATCACCCCATACTCCCAGCATATTTGCTTATTCATAGAAAATACACACACAAATGGAATCGATACAATGAAGATTTATAATTAATATTGTAGCCATTTTAAGAGTGTTCAATGGTGTTTTGATAATGTTTTACACCCATCCAAGATATTAGGGAGGAGTTATTTCTAATATGTCTCAAAACCACAACTGTCCCATGAGGCTTTTTTTACCCAGCTAATGTGGTGGTATGTCCATGGGGATGTTGGGCTATGATTGTTCATTTATTTTCTGGTATTGGGGATTGGACCCAGAGTCTAAAACTGCCAGGTCATCTTTACCACTGATTTAATACCCTTAGCCTTCTTTAAGACAGGTAAATTTTCATTTTGTAGTCTCCCCTCCTCAGCCTACTGAGAGGCTGACATGTAGATATGCACAACAGTTCTTGTTCTGAGTTTTCTAGTCCTCAGATCAGCTCAGTCCTTAACTACAGGACTCTTTCCAATTGCTGCACTCTGAAAGTCTGATCAGTGACATTTTGCATTACTTCCTTAAAGCTAGCTTGTCATGTAGGAGGAATCACTTTTATTCAAAAGATGTGAACTAAATTTAAAGTTTGTAGGGACTGTGGCTTTTTCCTGCAGTTAGAATCATCCATCTGCTGCTGCTTTCAAGGTTGTTTGCATTCTCCCATTTATCCCAATCCAGAGACCCAACACTGAGGTTGAATTGCTTTGTGCTTCTCTGGCTTTTCTTTTTACTTTTGCTTCATAGGTTTCTGGCATATTTTTCTTGGCTCCAGGAATTCTGTTTTTTTCCTTGAAGTAGATTTTCTTTTGTTGTCTTGATTCCTCTCTGCACTAAAACAGATGCTTTGAAAAAAAAAAGGCATCAAGTTGGGAAGGAGATGAGATGGGAACACTAGGGGGAGTTGGAGGGAGATAGTGTGGATGGACATGATCAGTATATTACACAAATGTATGAAATTTTGAGGAATGAAAACATATTTAAAAACATTAAAAGACAGACAGAAAGACAGATAAAAAAGGCTCAGAATTAACTTTAGAAGGCTCCTTACCTAGGGACTTTTAAATGAATTGCTGATGTCTTGGTGTCTTAGTTAAGGTTACTATTGCTATGATGAAACACTATAACACAAGCAACTTGGGGAGGAAAGGGTTTATTCGACATCACAGTATATCATCAAAGGAGGTCAGAAGCAAGACAGAAACCTAGAGGCAGGACCTGATGTAGAGGCCAAAGCTTACTAGCTTTCTCCTCATGGATTGCTCAGTCTGCTTTCTTATAGAACCCAGGACCACCAGCCCATAAATGGCATCACGCATAATGGGCTGGGCCCTTCTTCATCAATCACTAATTAACAAATGCCTTATAAGCTTGCCTACTCTTACAAAGGCATTTCCTCAGTTGAGGCTCCCTCTTCTCTGATGATTCTAGTTTGTGTTGAGTTAACACAAAACTAGCCAGTACTCTTGGTAACTAGATTTTCTTTCCTAAGTTTAAAAATGGCTTTATGTTTATTATAATACATTTGCTTATGTGGTTATGTAACTTTCTTTATGGGACTGGGGATTTAATTCAGGGTCTTGTGCATGAGAGATACATGAAGTCCCCAGTAGATTGATGTTTCTCACCCACTTGCCTCTTCCCAAATACCTGGCAGCTGCTTACCAAATAATTGACTTAGAGGCTTAATATAAATTATAAATACTTGGCCAATAGCTCAGGCTTATTACTAACTAGCTCTTACATTTTAAGTTAATACATATTCCTTATTTACCGTCTGCCACATGGTTGTTCCTTTATTAGCATGGCACATTCATCTCTTGTTCCCTCTGCATCTGGTGGCAACTCTCTCGATCCCCCTGACTCTGCCCTTCTCCTTTCCATCATCTTTAATTTGGTCGCCTTGCTTATACTTCCTGCATGGCTGCTGACCAATCAGTGTTTCATTAAACTAATTTGAGTGACAAACCTTTACAGTATACAAGAGGATTATTCTACAGCAGTCCCCTTGAGTCATATCTCTAATCTTTCATATAGTTATGGAAGCTTAAAAACTCCAAGGTCTACAAATGCCTGGAGACTTAACAGAATTTGTAGTATAGTTATCATCCAAGACTGATACCAGAATAAGGACAGCCAATAGTGTAGTTTCATAGTGAATGGTGGCAGGAAAAGCTGCTGTTATAGTTCAAATTAAATACAGGATAGATGGCTGATGTCTCAGATCATAGGAAGCCAGGCTGATGGAGGAATTTATTTATTGTCTTTTTGATATATGCATGCATTTAATTGATTGGATGAGACTTCTTCCATTGATTAAGAAAATTCTTGTACTTTATCCATATTTTTTTTTTTTTTTTTTTTTTTTTTTGGTTTTTCGAGACAGGGTTTCTCTGTGTAGCTTTGCGCCTTTTCCTGGAACTCACTTGGTAGCCCAGGCTGGCCTCGAACTCACAGAGATCCGCCTGCCTCTGCCTCCCGAGTGCTGGTATTAAAGGCGTGCGCCACCACCGCCCGGCGACTTTATCCATATTTTAAGATCTCTCATTCTCCAGTGATATAAACTAGAAACCGTTTTGTTTATGACTTTCTCTAACATTCATCCTATATCAAGATCTTTTGTTTATAACTAGTATATATTCCTTGAATTCTCTCAGATAATTAGTTTAGGTGGGGTGCATAGGTGGAGATACTGAGAATGTAAGAGCCAGAACATCAAGAAGTCTGCTGTGAAACAATCTCTCATAGAAAGCGTTTTAAATATGTTCCTTCTTCATGAAATGCTTTCAGATCAGCTTCACGCCTATGCACTCTTGCACTCTACTGACACCTTTATGTGTGTGTGTGTGAAGAGTATGTGTCTACGTTTTTGAATGTATATAGGTACATGCGCATATATGTGCACGTGCGTAAGCATGACAGCATGACAGGGGTAGACATTGAGACATTGAGACACTGAGTGTCTTCCACTCTCATTATCCTTTTTTTTTTTTTTTTTTTTTTTTTTGAGGCAGGGTCTCTCACCGAACCCTGAGCTCACTGTTTAGCTTGATTGGCTGGCCAGTGAGCTCTGAGATTCTCTGTTCTACCAGTGCTGAGGTTACAGAATCATGCAACCCATGCCCAGCATTTTAAGTTTTTCTTTTATTTTTGAGATTACAATATAATTTCATTATTTTATATATATAATATAAACATCATTTCCCCTTTCCCGTTCCTTTCTCCAAGCTCTCCCAAATATCCTTTCTTTTTCTCTTTTAAATTAATCATCTCTATTTTTCACTATTTGTTGTAACATACATTAATGTGTATACATGTATATTTCTAAATACATAAATACAACCTGCTAAGTCTGTATAATGCTGCTGTATAATGCTATATGTTTTTAGGGATGACCATTTGGTATTGGACAGTCAATGGGTGTGATTTTCCCTGGGGAAGACTATTTCTCATGTTCCTAACTCTGCTTAGTTGCTGATTGGGTTCTGGGGGGCTGGAATGAGGTCCCCATGTTTGCACAGCAAACACTTTGGTAAGTGAGTCATCATCCAGTTCCTGACTCTGTTTGTAATGTTTGGCCTCATATTGCTATTTCTTTATGTAGGAATTATTTCTTGGGTTGTCTAATTTTGTGCTAATGCAAAAACACTTTAATTTCTAATTGTTTATATTACTATGTTACAATTTTTTTCTAATTCTCAGAATGTCCTAATGGGTACTAAGCTAAGTCAAGAGAAGACCTGGATTTTCCCTTATTTACTATCAAAACAGTAGTAAATGTCACTGTTTCTGATAGAGTCACTCGGCTCAGAGTAATTGTTGATTAGTGCATAAGAGACATAAAAACCTGAATGTATTTATCCTGAATTTGTGTGTGTGTGTGTGTGTGTGTGTGTGTGTGTGTTTGGAACTGTGTGTGTCCATTACTTTTCTATTGTTGTGATAAAGTACCATAACCAGGCCGGGCGGTGGTGGCGCACGCCTTTAATCCCAGTACTCGGGAGGCAGAGGCAGGTGGATCTCTGTGAGTTCGAGGCTAGCCTGGGCTACCAAGTGAGTCCCAGGAAAGGCGCAAAGCTACACAGAGAAACCCTGTCTCGAAAAATCAAAAAAAAAAAAAAAAAGTACCATAACCAAAGGCAGCTCATGGAAGAAATGGTTTAACTTCTTTATGTTTCCTGAGAATAAGAGTCCACTATGGTGGGAGGCACAGACACAAGGGACAGATAAGGCTACGGGAAAAGGAGACTGAGAATTCACCTCTTCAGCTATAAGGGGGAAGCAGAACGAACAAACTGGAGTAGGGCAAAGCTATGAAATCTCAATTCCAGCTCCAATAATGTGCTGCTTCTTCCAGCAAGGCTGCATCACTTCCGCCAACAGCACAGCTGACTAGGGACCAAGTGTTCAAGTATCTGAGCCAATGGGAGACATTTCATATTTAAACCACCACAGGCGACACATGCATTTTAAATGTATGTTATTTGTAATTGACATAAAATATTTACACATATTTATGGGGCACCATATGATACTTTATTACATGTATATGATGTATAATATCAGATCAGTATATCTATCACCTCAGATACACATTATGTCTTTGTACTGAGATCATTTAATTACTCTTTAGTGGATATTTTAGAAAATTCAATTAATTATCATAAAACTTGCATCACCCACATGCTGTAGAACATAAGAAGTTATACCTCCAATTCAGCTTCATCCATCTGTCCATTAACCACCAAATCTCTATGTCTCTCTCCCTCAAATCATCCCCAAGGATAAGCTCACTTTAAAAAACAGCTTTACATAATAGGATATTACTTATGTATAAAGTGGTTGAAAGAGAGAGAATTGTCCTTCAGAAAATGAAATCTTGATGAGAGCGGAGAGACTATTAAGGCAACATCGTCATTCATATGCTGAGAATCCACGTTTATCTAACCTTTCTGTTGCCATCAGAGTGCAGAGGGAGAAGAGTGGCCTGGACAGCCAGTCTTACTCTGGCCACTGTTTCTCAGTCTTAAGGTTTTAGTACTTTCCCTTCTGTCGGTCTTTGAAAATGGGAAGACTATCAGTACCCACCTTTGGATTGCCAGAGAGATTATATTTCACCACTAAGATGTATTATTTCTTCACTTTTTACTATATGGTAATCATGTGTTCACTTATACAAGGATGAGTGATTGAAAAACTCTGAATTCAATAGAAATTCCCAAATATGCATGGAGTGGATGCTGTCTTTTCTACTCTCTTTAGTGAAGAAATTGTAAATAAATTGCATAACTAGTTTTCTCCTCATCCAATAAATGCCCCTTGCTAAAATTATAGATAGTACCTGCTTTATTTTATGACTCAATTTAATTCATGCCGTGCTCCAGGTATGTTCATTTATTACTTGAAAGAACTTTTGTGCTGCCTAATTTCTTAATGGCATCCTTCATCTGAGCATTTCTCAAGGTGTAGATTAAGGGATTTAACATGGGAGTTATCATAGTATAGAACATAGCAACTGCTTTATCAATAGGTAAGGTAGCTACAGGTCTCATGTACACAAATATGCAAGGCACAAAGAATAAGACAACCACTGTGATGTGTGAAATACAGGTAGAGAGGGCTTTGCGCCTTCCCTCTGCACTGTGGTTCTTGAGGGAGCGCAGGATGGCCACATAGGAGACCAGCAGAAGGAGGAAGTTCAGCAGACAAATGAAGCCACTGTTAGCAGCAACAAAGAGTCCAAGAGTGTGAGTATCTGTGCAGACAAGGTTGAGCAAAGGATTAAGATCACACATAAAGTGATCTATGACATTAGGGCCACAGAAGGGTAATCGGACAATGAACAGGATCTGTATGGTGGCATGAAGAAAACCTCCCAACCATGACACTCCCACTAGCAGGCTACATAGTCGTCGACTCATAATGGTTGCATAATGAAGGGGTTTGCAGATGGCCACATAGCGGTCATAGGCCATCACAGTCAGCAGGATGATCTCAGCACCTCCAAACAAATGCTCCCCGAAGATTTGAGTCATGCATCCATTGAATAGGATGGTCTTCTTTTCACAGAGTGAATCTACTATCAGTTTAGGGGTGCTTACGGAGGAGTAACAGGCATCAATAAAGGACAGATAAGCCAGAAAAAAGTACATGGGAGATTCTAATAATGATGTAGAGATTATGGTAATCACAATGAGCACATTGCCTGCTATAGAAGTCATGTAGATAAGAAAAAACACAGCAAACACAATTTTCTGCATCTTTGGGTTCTCTGTGAGCCCCAGAAGAATAAACTCTGTCACATTGTTTTGGTTTCCCATTTTATTTCATGTGATAGCTGCTTATATCACCTGAAAAATATCAATACAACCATGAATCTATTAAAATTTTCCACCTTAATAAGCCTCAAATCTCTGTATTCTGTTTATATGTGAATTTTCATGTGATTTTTATTTGTGTTCTAAAAAAAGATTCTGAATTCTTCAAGTTGCTTCTCAGGTGATAACTCTCTTAACAGATCAATATGAAGGATTTTTATGAGTGTGTAGGGCAAAGGACAACTAAATATTCTTGTCCATCTGTTGTGACTCAGGATCTAATTTATAGTATATTTTATGCTAGTGGAAGCTGAACTTTAATAAGGAGGTAGATGATGTGTGAAAAGACCATGAATGCAAAACTGAAGCATGCTCTTTATGTTTATATGAAGGATGAAACTTAGCAGGTATATGAATATGAGTGAAAAGCTAAAAAGGAAATTGAAGAAGGGGAAATATTGGATACTAATGAGAAGGTCTGAGGTTGAGTACTAGAAGGGAAGCCAAAGAGTTCAGACCCTATTTAGAGTAGGTAACATAGAAGTTCTAGTAATTGCTAGGAATATAGAGGATACAAGCACTGTGATGTAAGTCAAAATGGGGGACAGAGTGTGGGAGAGGAGGAGAGGAGATCCAGAAAAATTTATTTTCTTGAAAAATGACATAATGAATCCTGATATTTTGTATTCTGATAAAACATTAAAAATTAAAATTTTCTATTCTGTGAACATTAAAAATTATGCTTATTAAATCTAATAATTTCACAGTATTACTGCATACTTTTATGTGGTCGAGTTTTTATGAGGCATGACATCCAGTTTCCTGTACACATGTGCCTTCCTTAATGTTTGTAACAATTTATTTGGTTGACATCATTTTATCTATTTCTCAAATGAGGCAAGAATCATGAAGATTAAATGTAATTTGTCAGAGCAACAAGAACAAAATTGCTAAAATGACTAATCACTGAGTGTATTATGAATTTGTAGATATTTCCTGATTCTTTCTAATTATACTCTTACAAGATGGTCACAATAGTTATTTTTACATTATTTAAAATACTAGAAAATAGAACTACAGAAAGTAGCAATTGTGTCCAAATTCAAAGAATTAATAAGGAACAATCAAATTTACAATTCAAGTTATTATTATGGTTTTATTATTTTACTTTAAATTCTTGATTACACTCTATATTGTTATAATAAGAAAACTTTAATTATTTTTATTTAATCTTTTTATTATGACCAAAATAATATAATTATTTTCATACTATTTTAGAGTAAATTTATAGGGAACACATTGTCCAATTCACACATTGTCAATCTTTCCACTCTCAAGTATTAAGAAAACTGTGGTATTGCATTTAGTGGTAGAGTCTTGGATTTTGGCCTCTTTCATCATCCCACTCACCTCTAGTATAACTGCAAAATGAAGGCTTCAAGATTGTCCTTCAAAATGTTGCAAAGCTCTCCAACAGTAGCTATAGGGATATTTTAGAACCCAAACTCCAGATTAGAATCCTGATTCTTCCCTGGGCATTTTCTTTTACCTTAGGTGCATTTGCTGGCATATTATGTTATTATTTCCTCACCTATGAAGTGAACATGTTAAGATACATTTTATAAATTGTTATGAGAATTATTGCAAGGAATATATAGAAAAATATAGCACAGAATCAAAAGTAGAACAATACCATAGATAAGTATTTAACCACCCGATAAGCTCATGGAGAGTCATTACAAATATCACTCTTCAAGATATCATAAAATCAAGTTATCTATAGCAGTAATCCCATGAAGGATTTTCTGTGTGCATAGAATAAACCTTTGGTAATTATGTCACCTAATGTTTGTATTTAAATCTTTTGTGCATATGGAATGTACTGAAACATTCTTTCATAATTTGTCTGGATTTTTTTCAGACAAATGCCAAATGCAAGGTGTTTTGCTTCAGAAAGCTGTGTCCTATAAATCCTTTAAAAATTTAAATTTCAACTGCAATGTAAGTTTCTCTTAATTTTTAAATGTCACAGACTTAAGGTGAGGATAAAATAATATATAAATATATTTGAAAAGCATTGAAAAATTATTATCCTCATACAAGCAAAGTAAGAATCTTTTATAAATATCAATCCCACTATAAAACTTACCTTAGTCACCTTAGATGGTTCTAATAATGTCTGGGAATATCCAGACACAACACCATCTTCAAATTGACCTTCTATTAGAATAATTTATTTCAATGTGAAACATATACTACACTTAGAAAAAGATTCACTTAAATAATTTGATATGAAATCAAAAGTTGAGTCTATTAATCCAAATCTCTCCTAGCTTAAAGCCTCCTAACAATGTTACAGAAAACTTGATATTTGAATTTTTAATAGATTTATAGAGAAAAGTGATAGTCAAAGCAAAACTATTGCTTCTGCTGGGTAGAAGGTAGATATTGTGGACGAATTATATTTAGACAAATCACTCTACTAATGATGAATCCTGACATGGAGATATTAGCAGCAAAAGCTGTTTTTATCTTGGACTATACAGATATTTAAAGAGGACCCACAAAGATGCAGAGGCATTGTCTTGTAGCTGTTGGGTTTTCTCCTGGGATTAATTATCTCTTTTGATGGAAAGGATTTGTCTTGGAAGCAGATATTCTGGAGAGACACCACTGGAAAAAAGTTGTTTGGTGGGGAATTGTATCCTCCGAATTGTAATGAAAGCTGGTGGCATTCCTTTCTCTATGTTATCTCAGGGTAAGAAATCCAAATGCCATGTTGATATCAAGGTGGAATAACTTCAAGGTGGAAACCTACGTTTTTGTTGTTGTTGTTGTTGAGAAACAGCACAGAAGCCCCTTCAATTTTCTTATAAGCATTAAAATTTATCTGAAAATGCACTCTTTCTTGCTAAAGCAATGGGGGCATTACTGGGAGCCTTAAGACTACTTTCCTCCAAATGTTGGTCTTCCTTCTAACCATATCTTAATATATTTTGTAACAGTAGTCTAAGATTTTGTGTTTAAGTGTTCTTTTATATGTACACAATATAGCATAATGACAACAAGCACTCTTAGTGAAGAATTTAGCATCTGGGCAAACTGCTTTTTCATAGTAAGAAACAACTACCCTCATGGCAAATATCAAGTGTGTAATATAGAATCACTAAGTACAATCACTTGCCTGTACATTGCTTCGACAGAATTCATCTGTCTTAAGTCCTTGGCCATTACCTTTCTACTCTTATGTCTTTGACATGGCTGTTTTCAGCACCCATTTGGAGGTGAGATCATACACTATTTGAATTTCATTTGATTTCTTTCACTTATTGTAATGCCTTCCAGGTCCATAAGTATTGCTTCAAATGACAATGTTTTCTTCATTTTAAAGATATAATGGCATCACACACACACACACACACACACACACACACACACACACACACACACACCAGACCTCCTTCTCTCAATCTCTCTGTGTCACTTTTTATTCCTTCATACTTTGATGGACAATTAAACTGATTCTATATATCAACTATTATGAATAGCGCTAAAAGGATCATTTTCCTGATGGTTAAGCATGTTGAACCTGTTTTATCAAATATTTATTTGTATTTATAACTCTTCTTTGAGAACAGTCTATTCAGATCATTAGTACATTTATTGATTAGGTAAATTTTCTTTTTCATTTTGCATTTTTATATGTTATAGATATTATTCCGGGGCTGGAGAGATGGCTCAGAGGTTAAGAACACTGGCTGTTCTTCCAGAGGTCCTGAGTTCAATTCCCAGCACCCACATGGTGGCTGAAAACCATCTGTAATGAGATCTGGCTCCCTCTTCTGGCCTGCAGGGATACATACAAACAGAACACTGTATACATAATAAATAAATAAATAAATCTTAAAAAATGATATTATTCCTCTGGTGCACAGTTTGCTGTAGGCTGTCCCTTCACTGTACTGATGGTTTGTGCTGCTTTGTGGAAGTTTTTTTTTGTACTTTGCAATCACATTAGTCAGTCCTTGGGATTTTTCCTGTGCTATTAGAATCTTTTTCAGAAAGTATTTTTCTATGGCTACATCTTTAAGTATTTTTCCCTTACAGTTTCAAAGTTTCTGGTCTCACATTTTGATGTATTAAGAAGTTGTGAGTTATTTTGGGTAAATGTCAAAATAGTAAGTGAATAAGATAAACAAGGAGTCAGAGAAAAAGGAAAAAATAGAAAAGTAAGTTAAGTAAATGAAAAGAAGACCTCAAGTGCACAAAAAAATTATGGAATCTCTAGAAAACACAAAGAGTTAGAAAAGATTTAAAAAATAAAAGAAAAAGAAAAAACTAAAGAAATAATTTCCAATAAGATAAAGTTAGAAAATAAAATTCAGGGGTTTGGGGATTTAGCTCAGTGGTAGAGTGCTTGTCTAGCAAGCACAAGGCCCTGGGTTTGGTCCTCAGCTCCAGGGAAAAGAAAGAAAATAAAATTCAGTAAATATCCAACTGAAAAGAATAAAATGAATGAAAAGGAAACTCACAGTAGGGAGAGAATCTTTGACAGCAATATAACTGACAGAGACTACAGAAAGATACCCAAAACAAAACAAAATAAGACCACAAAGAATCAAGGGAAAAAACTCAATTAAAAATACCTATGTACTTGAACAGAGAGTTTCAAAAGAAAAAAAAAATACAGTGAAGAAATATCTTAAAAATGTTCAGCATACTTTGATTTTTATAGATGACTAACTACTAACCTGTCTTTCTTTATCATCCTAAATAGTTTTCAAGGACTAAAACTTTACATTACATTTTTAAATGAACTGCATAGGTACAATACCTTAAACAGGAATAGAAACATAGATACAGTATAACAAAAAACCTTAAATTTGTACCAATATCCAAAATTCCATATCAATGTAAAATATTTGAGAATAGTTCAAAAGTAGACTCACTACTCCACTCTTTTATCTGATCATTTCTATACTATATTCCCCCTTTTCCCTTTAGGAAGAGATATCTGAATCTAATTTCTTTT